TTTCGTTTCATTCTTTTCGTCTATATGTAGAAATGTTGTTACGTATTTTACAAGACTTTTATCGTATAATATATATTTAATTACATATACATATAAATATGTACCTGTGCTATTATATAGGTATATAAAATTGTGTTTTATGTAAATTAATATTGGCTTCGTGTAAATATATTATATTCAAATATTTACATTTTTCAAAACAACAGAAAACTACAGAGCTGAAGAGGGTCTCACTTAACTCGTACGAAACCGTCTTCAATAGAAAACCTTTATGTACAGAAAAAGTGAGTATTTAATTGATTGCTGGGCGTAGATGTAATAACAATTGAACTAAAACCAAATTTATTATTATTTTTTTTTTATTTAAATATTTATATCTATGTGTAAATTTGTATAATTAATAACAATTCGGAAGTAGTCTTTAGTGTAGATCGCGTAAGTACAAATCCAATTAAGGCTCGTGTATTCTACGTTTAATAAAAAAGAGTGCCGGAAGACTGGCCACACTGCTGACAAATAAAGCGCCTTATTTTTCGTGATACTTTAAATTATATTCCAAAATTATTATAATAAACGATTACGTGTTACTTAATTAGGCCATTAATTATCGAAAGGTCGTCAGTGAGGTGTCACGCAAGGTGTGATAAGAAGCAACAATAGTTTTAGCCCCGTTTTTCCATTTATTGGAATTCCATGTCGATGTAATAAATGATGTGGTGGGCAGTTGATTTATCGAATGAATAATTCAGTAGTAAAAATGCACGCAATGTAAACTGCGCAATTCAACCCTTATTAGTGACCACCGAGTGGACAGTCCACTCTGTTGCCCCATGTAAATGATAGCTGTCGGAAAATAATGGAAAAACAAAGAGAACTTCGTGTCAAATTGTGAACGGTTACACTTTATTTATATCTATTTCAGTTTTAATAAAAAATAAATGATAATCAACTACTGTGATTGTTGTGATAAAACAAAAGGTTTATAAACATCGTCTTTACTCCATCCAGCAGGTAATTTTTTACTTAAATAATTTTATTACGACATATTATATCAATTAATAATTTAATAAGACTAACAGCTTTATATAGATGTAAGTATTTTTAAATATTATGTGATCTGTAACAATTGGAATCCATTGGGTCAAACTTTTTTGCGCAGTACTGTAAATGTAACTTTTTACCGAAGTAATCAAAAACAAAACAAAAATGGTTAAAAACAATTGAAACATGCTTGGATATTTTACAAATAATGTTGCTATATTGATTAAGGGCTGTTTCTAAAGAGACTCGGTTGTAGCACATGTTCAAGTTCACTGGAAATATTTGTTTAACTTCTGATCAATAATTCTAATGATAAAGTGTTGGATCTGGGTCAAATGACATAATTACCTTTTTGTCCTAATTTCTAAGAAATGATTAAATATCGCTGAGTAAATATTCAAAAAACCGTATATACACAACTAAAAGTTTTGATTTATTCAAAACAAAAAAAAAACTAACAATTACAAGTGTTATTCATTTGTTATTAGCCATTATTTCGTAAAAAAAACAAAGGAACAAACAGTGAACTGCTGTAATTTTTTAAGTAAAGTTAGACTTCATATGTTTTAGTACTTATAAATAATTTAACGAAATGGCTGAAACTGTTAAAGTTATTGTAAGATGTCGACCAATGAATGTCGAAGAACGAGAAAAGAAGTGTCAGGTATTTAAAAACGTTTTGTACAATACATTTCGAAAACATTTGCGTATCTTTTAGAACATTGTACGCATAAGGGACGGTACCGTTGAAACATGGGACCCTGCAGAGTACCCAACTTCGTACCCCAAACAATTTACATTCGATTCGGCTTACGATCCAAAGGCTTCCACTGAGTCTATTTATAATGAGATTTGTTACCCGCTTATTGAAGTAAGACATTTACAAATAAACAATTAGCCAATTACAAAATAAAACAGGGACTTTACTATAATATTATTTATTATACAGAGTGTCTTAGAAGGATATAACAGTACCATTTTCGTGTATGGGCAAACAGGGTGCGGAAAATCGTTTACCATGGAGGGTAACAAACTATCTTTGCCCCCCGATAAGGGCATAATTAGCCGAACATTTGATCACATTTTTGAAGCCATCTCTGTCACTGTTGACGTCAAATATTTAGCCATGGTTAGCTATTTAGAAATATACAACGAACAAATAAGGTATTGTATTGTTTATTTACATATACAGGGTGTTTCTTGTCTTATTCTAACCTAACCCGTTTGAATCGACATTTTTATACGATATTACGATATTTTTGTCGCATTTTTATGAAACACCCTGTATAATAAGCAACAATATAATTTTCTATTATTATTGTTACTTATAGGGATTTACTTGTGCCAACGACAAGGAATTTACCCGCTCCCACCCTTAAAGAAGTCCCAAACGTGGGGGTGGTAGTCATGGGTAGGTGGTCGATTAATTTCGAAAACGTACCGAGTGTTTTATCGTTTATTGTTTAAGGCATTTCCACTCACCCTGTACATAACGTTAACGAATGCGAAGAACTACTGAGCATCGGGACAAAAAATAGAATCACGGGAGCGACTTTGATGAACCAGAATAGCTCCCGATCGCATAGTATTTTCACAATCAGTATTGAACAGATATCCAACAAAGGGAACTTGGAATCTATTAAAAAGGGTACTTTTGCATGGTTATAAAATATTGAAATATATTTTTTGTGTTTTATGCTGCTAGGTAAGTTGAACTTGGTAGATTTGGCCGGTTCTGAGAGACAGGCGAAAACTGGGGCCACGGGGGACAGATTGAAGGAGGCGACAAAAATAAATCTGTCCCTAAGCGCCCTCGGGAATGTCATATCGGCCTTGGTGGACGGGAAAGCCAAACATATTCCTTACAGGGATTCGAAGTTGACCAGACTTTTACAGGTTCTAAAATAATGATAATTGATACCAATTTGATTGGTTTTATTCTAATTATTATTATTTTTATGACAGGATTCGTTGGGGGGTAATACGAGAACTTTAATGATAGCATGTATCAGCCCTTCGTGCAGGGACTATCACGAAACTCTGTCGACCCTGCGGTACGCAAACAGAGCTAAAAATATCTGTAATAAACCGCGGGTGAACGAGGTATTTAAATAAATATTGTTTTTATAATAATAATATTATTATTGAAAGAAACTGATTACG